AACTTTATTAGTAAAGAAATAAAAAATTTCTTATGAATATCTTTTTTATATATGAGTAAAGAATCAATGAAAAGAGTTTTTATTTTTTTTTTATGCTAGCACAGCTATGTTTTATTTGAATATAGTAGATATTACATGTATACAATGTAGATAAGCTACTGCTATTTTCCAAGTAAAACTTCGATAAAGAAAAACCTATCTCGTGACAGTGCCACTCTTTCTTAAAAACAAAGGGGCTAGTAAAGGGGTCTACTAATGTGAAAAAATTAAGAAAAAATCTATGTTGTTTGTGTTTGAATCAATGTGTTCCTCAAATTTAAATCTGATAGTAAAGATATCTATCCAACTACTATAATACTATCTTTCAGGCTATCCTATAATGATAAACAAAGACTATACAAGATTAAATAGGAGAGAAGACTTTGCATATAACTAAGAAGACACTAGTGAAAAAGAGGAATTGATTTTAATATGGAATGATTTGAAAACCATGCTACTACTACCACTTTTGTACCATTGGCTGGTTACTCTTCAAGGGCTTTATTATTCCAGGTCATAATGCCTCTTTTTCAGCTGCTTTCAGTACAGCCATGTTGTGATTTCTTGTTTCCTAGCTCTAGTCCTTTCTTTTGATTTCTACCTTACCCTATCTAGTATAGAACCTCTGTCGATGTTCTTCCAGGTGATAATAAGTTGGGGGGTTGCAAGGGGGTTTTAGAACATAGGGGAGAAGTAGCTCGATGATGCTGTCAGGATGTCTTCTTTTAGGCTGTGTGAGCGCTGGGAGGGAGGGGCCCATCATTCAATAACCTGTCCTTCTTTGCCATTGCGACGATTCTATCCTAGAAAAGAAAGTCTTGACATATCCGGCTTGTGCTTTATTGGATCTGATAAATATTATACTGTTTTTCCCAGAGTACTACCATCTTGAGAGGTTGAGCCATAGTCTTTTTTTCTTTAGACTATATATTGGTCCTGCCTTTTGGTTAGTACGAATGATAAATCTCCCAGTTTACCAATCTAATGCTTCTAAAAGATAAGTGTGACACTTCTTAGGTATTATTTTCTTTCTATATATCCTTGAGTCTTGTTATGAATATAGTTTCACTTGATAGATTCATATAGTATGTTGTTGAGTTTCTTTCTTGATCAAGACATTGATGTAGAAGAGACTGTATCCTATATCCACCTGCACAAAGAGTTTTTATTTTATTATATATTAATTCATTTTTCTTTTAGAACTTTTTTATTATTGATAAAAAAGGTAATTACTTAACTTTTTCATATTATAAAAAGTTAAGTTTTTACTTAAAAAGGAAACAACATAAGAAGAGAAAGGCAAGAATAACTTTTGAAAAAAATTTTCAAATTAATTTAAAAAAATATTAAAACTTTATTAGTAAATAAATAAAAATATTTTCTTGCTAATATCTTTTTTATATGTAATCAAAGAATTAATAAAAAAATAAAAAAAAACTATTAAATACTTAATATTATATTTAATTTATAAAACTATAATAAAAAAAAATAAAAATTTTAAAATAATATTAAAAAAAAATAATAAGAAAAAAAATTGAAGTTAAAGAAAAAGCAATATAATTAATTATAAATAATAATAATAAATTAGAAAAAATAAATACTATAAATAAATCTTAAACTATATAATGAATCTCTAAGTCTAATTAAAATATATCAAACTTTTATTAAATTTAATAAAAAATAATTTGATAAAATAAAAAAAACCATAGTTTACTAATTGTTTAATAAAGTATATATAAATAACTTGATAGAGAGTTAAAAAAATAAATAAATAGAAAAACTATTATAATAATTAAAAAATTGATTTAAATAAAGAAATAGATCATAAATATTGTATATACTGTAATACAAAAAGATAATAAATAAAATATTCATTATCAACTTTTTTCTATAAATTCCTAACCACCACTTCCAAAGAAGTGTTTTTTCAAAACTCTATATTTTGAGAGTAATAAAACTTTAAAACTTATCCTAAAAACACCTGCTTTATTTAGCAGTAGTTATACTTTACTTTTTTTATTTATCTTTTCTCTTCAAAAACTCTCTATCTAAGAAATTAATAGCAAGAAAACTTTTTTAGAAAGAAGAAATTAGATGAAAAAATATCTTTCTTCTTTTCCCTATAGAGGTCCCAAAGTTTAGAAAAAAGTGTGAATCAATAATTCCATGCTAGCCTAGGAAACTGACATCAATACCATAGATAGAAATGGCTTCTCTTTCAGTATGTAGTAGTTTTTCTTGGGATTTTGGAGAATTTTACCTATTTCAGTTTGACCCTTAATTTTCTGTTACATCAAATTTTGGACAGATTAATTGACTAAAAATTGGAATTGGTTGCTTCATACTAGTAGAAATGTAAACAAGGATACATGGGACATAAGATGTAAATATATTTTTTAAGATTTATAAAAACCTTAGATTCATTATAAGTTATTGACTAGTTATGCAGATGGATAAATTATGGACTATGATCTCCTTTCTCTTATTACCTCCTGAAAGTGTCATGGCTATAAAAGAAGTACTTCTTTAGAAGTAAAGTTAGATGGAAGAGCTATTGTTAGACATTTCTTTTTTTTCTACATTTTCTCTTTTTATAAATATTTTTAATTTTTTTCTTTATTTTTTCTCCCTTTTTTCTTTATCTCTCTTTTTTTTACACTAACTGGTTCTTGACTAGTATAAGTAACTCTTAGAATCAGATGGTGTTAAGTATCTTGAACAAGTCCTAGCAAGTTAGGCCCTTCTAATAAATGGCAATAAGCCAATCGGTGAATGAAAATTCTAGATAATATCAAATTAATGGTAGGGAGCAACCAGCAATGCACTATTGAGTGTATCTGGTCAATCCCCTCTTTGTTGTTAAAAGAGATTATTTACACTAGGTGGTCATGTATTTTTCTTATCTTGGTTAGGTTAGACTTAGATCGAGTTTGTAAATAGATAGTCTTTTGTACTATTTTCTTTCTAATGATCTGTAAATCCTCAAACAATACAGAAAAATATTCATTCCAATTGTCCCTAAATATGATCTTCTTTTAATAAAGTGACCCAGAGTGATACAGGATGAGCCAGTGTTTAAAAAAAAAAAAACAAAAAAAAACAAAAAGATAATAAAATAAAATAAAGTTCAAGAAATTTTCAAATATAATAAGATAAATAGATCAAGAATATACTTGATTTAAGAAGATTTATCAAAATCAAAAAATATGAAATAACTAAGAAAAAAGACTTAACAAATAAAATTAAATATAAAATACTATAATTTGGTTTTGATATTTGTTAAAACTTGGCAGTAGTAATCTATAAACAGTGATATCAATAGTTAAAAGAGTTTTATCTGAACTATTTATAGAGAAATATATCACTTTCAAAGTTGCACTTAGAAACTAAGAAGAGTGAATTAGAAAATTAGCTTTAGCAAAACATGTTATATATATACTGTTTACAGAAGTTTAATAAAGTACACATAACTAACTTGACAGAGGGCAAAAAAAAATAATAACTGATTTATTTATTTTAATTAATTTTAATTGGGCATCAATACAATTAGATTCTGGCTTCCATTGACACCCATTAATCGTCAATCTTCACTATAATTACTTTTTTTTTGCATATATTAGGAAGGGCAAAGGTTAGCACACTCTTGAATTAACTCTGAACTCCACAGTAATCATCTTTGATAGTTCCTATCGCAAACTGTCATGATAAAAAAATCAATAAGCGTAAAATCTGAATTTAAAGAAATAATTAATTCGACTTACAATATCCGTAGCATCAAATCTCGTTCCAACAATCTTTATCCTGACGTGACTCCCTTTCTCAATAGTCTGGGAAATAGAAAAAACATGAATTCAAATTGTGCAATATTTTGTTTTGAAAGAATTGATACATTATTAAGAAATTACGTACAACTTCTTCACCTACGTAAGCTTGGCGAGCCGCATCGAATGTCACATCTGAAGGGGTTAACTTAAAAAGGGTTGAATACAAGACGACATTCAATTTGTTTTTTCAACACGTTTTGTTGATCCAAGAAAAACAAATTACATGGCTCGAAACGAATACTTGTAATGGACCAACATCGGTAAAAAATCCCATCTATAATTACGAAGAATGGTCTAAAATCAGTTTTGGAATATCGTAAGGCAAAGAAAATTTATGATTTACCTTGTTAACTTGTGACACAACCCCATCTACAACTTCTCCCTTAAAAGGTTTGAATACAACTGCTCGGTATCTCACTTCAAACTCAGCCAATCCAACAGATGGAATGACCTTTCCCTTCGAAATATCCAAAGATTCCATGGTATCCAGTACGGCTATGATATAACCATATCTTCCGGTACAGGTTCCTTCAACATCCGAGTACAATTTTTCAGCGAGGAAACTTTGATAATTTTGGGTAAAGTAGGAAGGGTGAAGTTGGATTGTATGAGTTAATTTTTTCTAAACAAAGTAAAATTTTATTAGATTACAAAGTCAAAGATAATAAACAAACGAAAAACCAACGCATACAATGAAAAACATTTCGTTAAAGATCGAAGAATCAATCTGCGCGAATCCTGAAGTCGATCATATACTATCGGTCATCTAAAAATAGAAGCAATGTAGATGATATGGTGCGCAGATCCCTTATAGTATAGAAATACCAATAAGTCCATGGAAATATTGAACAAGTCACACGATATATTAGTTTTAATTATTTGTTCTTGAAATTGCATTTTTGTTTTTTTTTTTTTAACCCACAATCATGTCTAAACGGCTTGTTTTTATTAAGATACTTGTACATTATTAGTTAAAGGATTATACTACTTAAAAAATATGAGGTGTTCACTAAGCTAGTTCAGATTAAACAAAACTAAGTCTCAACTAGGTACTCTAAGTCAGATTTAGGGAACAATATTATGCTCTTCTAATAGCTTGGCATAGTGTCTCTAAGTCAACCAGAGTTATTGTCAACAGTTTATCACTATCAATTATTCTAAAAAATAATGAATTGTTAAAGTTTAATTGGAAAAGAGGAAAACGAAAAACAATTCAAAGCCTTTTAAAGATTCTTTTTCATTTCACAGTTTCTTCTCAAAAGAGGTTTTATCTGATTGGGATATTCTTCTTTGCTTTATTTGGATCTCAAAAGAAGTCTTCTTTATCATTATCTATAGCATTGGATAAGTCTTTATTTAAGTGTGCATCAGATTGGGATAGTCCAAGAGAAACTAAAAGATCTCAGC